AACAGCATTTCAAGAGGACCTAACTAGACATCCTTTCTTACTGATTTATTTTATGAAATCTTAGGGCACCATCAAGAATGGGTTTGGAAATGAGGTGACCCAAAGGCTGGCAGTAGAAAATGCTCTTTTAATAATTGCGATAGAGTGGCTGAAATCTTTAACCACCACTATGAGCAAAAAGCACTAAGAAAATGCACTGGGTGTCAAATAAGCCCCAGGCAGGAATGTTAATGCTACATGATTTGGGGTACCCTAATTTCTCTTATTTGGGGTTTTGTAAGATGAGGTAAATGGTAGTTGGAAGGACTCAATGAAATAAAGTGTATAAAGTGGTCAGTGTAGTGGTTGGCACATGGGGAGAAGCTCTTCCGCCTGGGTATGAGTTGTGGGAAATTTTTAACAAGAGTTAGAAATTCAGGATCTATTCAACATAGCACCACCAGGAGCTTCACTTAGCAGTTTTCTGGTGAGAGGGGGGCTGGTATAGGAAGCCTGTTAGCAGTAGGGGTCTGAGACTCCAGGCTTCAGGTGGATGGTGACTGACGATGACCCCGTGGTTGAAATGTGAAATTTAGGTGTAGGAGGCTTGGTGTGGGTGGAAGCTTGACTTTAGCTTTGAGAATGAGTTGCTCCCAAAATGTTCAGGTGAATTTTTTCAGGACGTTTGTGTTAGTTAACTGATTGTGTCAATCTGAGCATGAAACACCCAGCTAAATTGGATCAGCATAATTCGGGGTGTGGCTGGAGGGATTTCCTAAAACAGAAGACCCAACCTGGATAGGACTGTAACCCGAAAGCAAAAATAGAGACATGAAGGAAGGCTCCTTCATCAGAGACCCTTCAGCCTGCTGACACCGACTCACGTGGGACCCTAGAGTGAGCTGCAGACCTAAGAATGGATCCTTCGTATCTCCAGCTCACAGACAGCACGTTTGCACTTCTCCACATCTGGCCTGTAGGTGGCTACTGCAAGCCAATGCGTGTAAATCCTTATGCATGTAAATATCTTGCATTAAATTCCCTTCTGTAGTGAACACTGATGCATGCTTTAATAAGCTTAATAAATGTTTAATAAGGTTTGGGCTGAGTAACTATGAGAGGCACAAATGCTTCTCTGAGAACTTGACACCTGAGACTGTTGGACTATGGAAAGTGCGGGTTCAGATGAGAAAAAGCTAAGCACACAGCCAAGGAACAAGTAGATGATAAACAGGGAAAGGGTCCCTCCGTGACACGCTGCCTGGGAGACGGGAAGGGATTCACCGGACAGGATAATAAAAATGAAAGGAGCTGCTTCAGCCAGCGCAGATTCTGCTGAACAGGTGAAAGAGTTACAACAGGAAGATAAGTGTAAGATCTACAGGAAGAGGTCTTTTGCACCCTTTCATGAATGTTTACAGTAAACTTGAGACAAATATATGCAATTATGGAGGCTAGAGGAATAGACTGTATTTTTAGAAGCACAGTTGTAAAGGGAGAAAAGAAGACATTTCTAAGTTCAGGATTAGGTAGGTATGAAGCCAGGAGTTTTAAAATTTGACAGGGGAGGGTTAGTGAGAGAAAATTGCTAACGCTCAGAAAAGGGGAAAAGAGGCTATATGAATGGGCATATATATATTTGAAGGACAGAAAGTGAAGGAGGCTCAGACCCAGGGGCATTTTAAAAAATATATAATTATCAAAAATCCCAATTTTCATTTTCTAGTTCCTATCTGTTTTCCACAAAGTGGCTCTGTGGTCTTGAATAGTTAACCCTAAGACAATTCAGTTTCCTCATCTTTTAAAGAAGATGCTAAGAGTTTCTGCGTGCTAGGGCTGTTAAGTGAATTAATAAGTGTAAAAGCAAACTTAGATGTAGTCTTATTTCATGCTAAATACTGTGCTACCGACTGGGTCACTTAAACAAGCACGCGTTTCCATCAGTTTGAGAAGCTGCCGAGTCCCGCACTCAGGTGCCAGAACAAGTGGTGTCTGATGAAGACCTCCTCCTGGTCTGCAGCCAGGCGCCTGCTTAGTTTATCTCTCTGTGGCAGAAATGAGAGGAAGCAAGTTGTCTCCTGCCCCTTTTAATAAGGCCATTAATCTCGTAAAGACTGTTCCTCATAGACTAATGACTCTCCAAAGGGCCTTTCTCAGAATATCCCCACAATAAGCACTAGGGTTTGAACGTAGGGATTTTGAGGGGTCATAAGCATTCAGCTCACAGCAGATAGTAGATCTGGGATATATGTTCACTGCCACTAAGAGTGAAGGCAAAATCTAAGCCTAGAATTTGTGAAGAATTATTAAAGGCGGGAAGTTGGGACTGGAAAGGAAAGGTTAATCTTAGGTAGTGGACTGATAACCAGTGGCCAGATTGTAAGGCCAGCTGAACTGCATCATCACAGTGCTGAGCATGGATGGCCCACCTGAGAATGTTGCCAGCATAAAAGGAGAACTGAAGAAGGGCTGTTGATTCTCCTGTTGCCACGGGTTCTCCTAGAGGAACTTGTTGAGGTACTTTCCTGATGTGAACTGGGCTGTTTGAGCATCACTTCCTGGTTCCAGAGGGGAAGATGGTGTGCTGTTCAGTCTCCTGGAGAAGTTTGTCATGCTGGCTTCCTGATTTGAACTCAGCTGTTTTCATCACCAGAAGACCTCAGGACCTTCTTGTCGGTGAGGATGGCTGTGGTACCTTTCAGAGGAGCTCAAGTTCTTGCTTTAAGTGTTGCTTCCTGGCTTCAGTGCAGGACCCTCAGCCTACTGGCACAGATCATTCATCCCACTGAAACAAACTTTATAGCTTCCACGACTCACTTAAGGTCCTTTCCAGCACAGACGCATGAAACACACATGCATGAGATATTATCGTGGACTCTAGGCCTCCAGTTGGATTCATGGGAGGGCATTATCTTGGGCTCAAGATCTTCAGCTGGACTCATGCAGGATATTACTGTGGGATTTAGGCCCTCAGCAGGTTTCCTTGGATCATAGTGTGTGGACAGATTTCCTGCATTTCTTGTGTTGAACTCTTTGGGTGACTATTATAAAATAATTCTGTAAAGTATGTGTCCTGTACTATCTTGTTTCCTTTGCAAATCCCTGACTACAACACTATTGGAAATAAAAGATGAAGTTCTCCAATGACAACTGACTGATGCATGGATAGAGCTGGAGGTCATTCCGAATCTGCTATAGAGGCTCCAAACTCCTTGGCCTCTACCAAGGAAACAGTCTTTAGACTCACTGATTATTGGTGGATGTAAGACTCCTTCAAGCAGTGCTTGGCCAATCTGCAGCAAGTCAGCATGATTGCTGCTTATTCTGCAGACCTAGGTTCCAGGAGAAAAGTTGAAAGCTTTTGATTCATTTTAAAATTTAATTTAGAAATAGACTGACAGATTTCTTTGAATACAGTACTGCAATTTGCATGAAGGTTAGAATGCTAAGGAATTTGAGATTTTGGAACATATGGCTAAAAACCAAAGTTTGGCATGCTACTTGAGTTTCTAATGAATATTTCATTTTGTGCACTTTGTCAGATTTATGGGTTTTATAGACATCTAGTTAGATGGAATTAAAAAGAAAAGGGCAGTCACTTGGTGAATTGGAGAACTTCTGAAATATTTGTAAATTAAATTTATGGCAGCAGTGTTATACAACTGTAGGCAATGATTATGGAAATGAAAATCGCCCTGTGGATTTTATGCTCATGTCACTAATGATGTGTGGGCATCGTGGAAAAGCAAGCAGAAAACAAGCAATGTTGAAATGATTAAACAGCAAGGGACAGTGAATTAATATTGTAAGCAACTGGGAATAATGACTGCAAATTGCCAAAAATATTTTTTATAAAATTGCATAATGAACTAAATTTTGTTATGTATATAGGCTGTATAAAAACATTTTGTGTTAAGGAAACCTAGTACAAAAAGTCAATTTTTATTGGATAAAAGTTTTAACATTATTTGAGAAATTTCCCATCTGTCTCCTCAAGGTCAATAGGAAGAATTAAAGACTAGATATAATCAAGTTGAAATTTGAAAATAAAAATCATAGAAGAGATTTCCAGTTATTATAGCTCATTAAACTCCTTAGAAATTTGTTGTCTAAACATTATCAGCAGAGAAATCATTTGGGTGATTTGTAATTAGAGTTTAAAAACATTGGTTAAAACAGCCAATATCAGAAAGCTAAAATTGTATATCTTAGTTTCAAATGCATGTGTTTGTATAGAATTACGACATTAAAATGAATAATGTATTACAATTTTCAAAAGTTTGAAAGAGAGTAAGTGGGAATTAGCACGTAGAGCAAACTTAGAAGAGGAAACCAGAAAAGAAACCTAATAGTAAATTATTAGAAAATCTTATCACTGAATCCAATGATAATTCTCTGCGAAAGTGATTATTAAGTTATGATTAATACAGTTCTTGAACATAGAAGATTTAGGATAAATATCCAAATTGCACTTTTTTTTAGACAATGGCAAGGAGTTTTGCATTATTGTTAGTTTGGGTTTATTATTACTAATAATACCACTCTCCTGGATGAAGACAGAAGAACTGCATGTCCTTTTACCTCAAGAATGTAGCAGCTAAAACCAAGACCCAGAAACTGACTTAAGACAGAGGATACCAGCCAGGTATTGGCTTAGTATTTAGCTTTATTTCCATTGTGATTAAAAACCTTGCCACAGTTCCAGGTCTTACATTTTTGCACTGAAATGTCCAAATGACATTTCAGGTGTGTGCCATTGACTCTTGTGTCCCTGAAATTCAGTAATTTGTTTCTGTCCTATTTGTTTAGAATCCTTGGTCTGCACAGTCATCTGAGAATCACATACTAGAGTTAGCATGGATTCTAGATAAACTTATTCAACTAAAGCCAAAGAGTCTATCCTGAAAGTTGAGAATAAAATCAAATTTTGCAACAACCTGGATCAGGAAGGAAAAAAATTGGGTTGTTGCCTTTCTCTTTTTACCTTTGTATTCATACAGTAGAGAAATAATGTCATTTACCTTGTAGTTTTGAGTTTCTCTGGAAGTGGCTGATTGCATAGCTTCCATTTCCTATGCGTCCAATAGGCTGGCTGTAGGGCATGGATGAGGAGGAAAGGTCTTATATTTCAGTGTCACTGACTCTCACAACTTTTGCCAAGATTTGCTAGATTAAAAAAAAATAACAAACCCATTTTGTATTTGGTATGTTCCATGCGACAATTATTGCAGACTTACAATTTAAAATAAATGATTTTGGCAAAGTGAATCCATAAAACTTCCCATGTTGCCTTTTGCAAGTAGAACTCTGGATTATGGTGGACACATTTGGATTTTTTTCTGCCAGCATTTGTGTTTACACATGTGTCCCATTTTTATATGCATTTGGGGCTTATGTTCTTTATTTCTTAGCCTATGACTTTCTATTTGTTTTGAACTTCTATAATGTAGTTCTTCTATTGGTTGTCCTCAAAATTTCACTACATATCTTTATCTTTTGTATGAAAATAGATGCTCTTCCAGACTATGATGTAAAGTGCAATAAATCAGACACACACACACTTAAATATGACATGATCGCTTTTACATAAGAAACCTGTCTTAGTTACTTTTTACTCGTCGATGAGACAAAATATCTGAAGCCCAAAGTTGGGAAAGGAAAGGTTTACTTCTTATAATTTTTGGACTTTTCAGTCCACACTCAGTTGGCTCCCAGGAAGGCGGGCATGCCTGGGCTGCTTTTCATGGTGGCTGCAAACAGCAAGCTGGAACCAGCAAATAGCAAGACACACCTTCTTCCTGCCATTACATCACATCCTGGCTCCATCCCTATGTGGGTGGAGCACTGACACCATCAATCCAAGCACTAGACAATGAATGAATAACAAATGCACAATGCAAACTCCTGAGGCCTGGGGACACAGACATAAACCATGACAAAACCCAAAGTATAAGTAAAGAGAAGGATGAAAATTATCTAATAGAACACAAAGAGTCAGATCCTTTGTAATGAGGGGACCACGACCTGGAGGGAGGCTGGAGGGAGAAGTGGGGAGGCGAAGGGAAAAGAATGAAGACGCGTTCCACGCATGCACCAATCCCCCCCCCCATGCATGTAATCATTATGTATTACAGATATGTACTAAGAATAAACATTAAAAGGCGAAAAATTTAAATTCAGTTAGTGCTTCTCAACTAGATTTTATTTTGCCCCAGGAGATATTTGGCAGTGCCTGGGAATATTGTCTATGTTGAAGAAGGGTAGAAATATGCACTCACTGGAGGACAATAATGTTGCTAAACACCCTACAATGGTCAGGGGAGCCCCTCACAAAAGAACCATCCAGCCAAGACTGTCAGCAGTGCCAAGGTTAATAAACCTTGGGTTAAACACTAATTTACTCTTCTGTCTGATCAATATGAAGTGCTTAGAGTCATCCTCCCTTTTTATTTACTCTATAGCTCTTTTTTTTTTCTTAGATCTCCTCCTCCCATCATTTTTTCCCTGTAGTCTGGCATTATTATGTATTGAGACTTTCACTGCTTTTTTGTGAGCACAGTCTTACAAAATACACAAAAGTCTGATGTCCCATTTGGAAAGTATGCCTATTAAAAAAGAGTCAGTTGTGTTTACCAGACCAGAGGTTCACAAAACAAATTATGCAAAGGGCAATATCCCTGTTATCACTTTGCAAATTGTACGTTTGCAGGAAAGTTGGCTAACAGTCAACACCACTAGCCAACTACGGAGGACCGGGAAGAAACAGATGCTGGTGTTTCCCAGTAGAAGTCAAGTTGGTGCATTGGGTCTGTTTTACTGTTTTGCTAGTATGATTCGCTTTCCTTGACAGCCAGATTTTGAATTCAGATTTTTAAAAATCAAGCTACTTCTAATTCTTCAAGACACTGATGGGTCAACTCTGTGAACACTAGTGTAAAACAGCAGGAACAGGTGCTTGATCCTTTCTTATTAGAGGCCCCTCTTGCCCAAGGATGGGTATTGGGTGCTGTCACTAGGTGTACTGCAGGCTGTCAGGTGTAATAGCTTATCTTTGACTTCTTTTGTTTTGGGAACCTATTCCTGTCAGAGTTGGAATAAGGAATTTGAGCACTTTTAGTTACAGCCAGCAGAAATGGAATCAATACATGCCAAGATTAACTTCAGTGATTAATCCCAGAATCAATGAACCAAATGATTATTATTTCTGTCAGCCGCAGATTCTGGGATGCAGCATTGTGATTAAGGAGGCACCTTAATTTTCATCTGCTGGCTTCTGCAGCTGCTGTGTCTGAAGCCACCGATTTTCACTTCCCTTGCCCTGCAGTTGCTCTGGTGATAGCTTCTTGCTGCAGCCAATTCCTGTGTCACACGGTACGGAGCTCAGAAGTCAGATTTGACAATAATGAGAAGCAGAGTCGACTTAGTCTGAGCTGCTACATCTCCAAGCCATAATGCCAAGTCAAACTGCTAACTTTTAAATCAGAGTGATTATTCTGACTGTGTGATGGGTAAGTGGGTATGTTTCATGGCCTTTCAAAGGAGAGCAGACGGTTGCAGGAAAGTCTGGAGATATAATTGCCTGACGAAAGGCTCCAGGCATTCGCCTATATGGGAATAAAAACCATTTTTGTAGAAGTGCTTTTTGGGGGATACCACAGACAGTGAATACACACAAGCAATGGGCTTGAGGGCTCACGGTGTGCCACATGCACTGCTCAGCTTTCTATGCATGTTATTTAGAAGTCACATGCAATCTCTGTGGTACATGCTATTCATGTCCTTGGGTAGCAGATTCAGAAATGGACACAATGTGAACCCAGTCCTACCTGATTCTGCATTCTTTATTTGCAATTGCTCATTTAAGATCTTCTAGGTATAGATAGGAAGGGATGGATCTTCTTATAGGTTAATTTGTGTCTCTTCCAAAAGATATATTGAAGTTCAGAGGCTCAGAATATGATCTTGTTTGGGAGGAGAGTCATGCGAGTGAAATTAGGTAAGAGAAGATCACACAATAGTGAAATGGATGGAGCCCTAATCACTGTGAGTGGTGGCGTAACAAGAAGTCAACAATGTAAAGAGACATAGAGAGCACCCTGTGAACATGGAGAATTGCAAAGAAAATCTACAAACAATAGAACACCAGCAGTTTCCTCAAATCATTTTAGAGATGAAATGGATTTGTTATCAGTTTATTTTCAAACTTCTCTGCTATAGTTGTGACAAAATACACTTCTCTTGTTTTAAGCCGCCCAGTTACTTGAACTCTGATGATATCCCAAGGAAAGACGTGGGTTAAATGAATGTGCTTACATGTATACCTGTATTTTTGTAATATTCATTAAAACAAGAAATAATCCCTAAAATTTTCTGTGTGCAGAGTGCAATGTCAAGAATGATATGAAGTCAGAAACTTAACCTAGGTGATATGCTGGCATAATCCTTAGTGTGTGTGTGTGTGTGTGTGTGTGTGTGTGTGTGTGTGTGCACATACTACTTGGTAAGCACTGTCTAGTCTAAGAGGACTGCATCCCCAAATGAGCTTCATCCCCAGAATTCAGCCCTGTTCTATCTGAGCTTCTTGACCTCTTGGGAAATGTCAAAACCAGGCTTTTTACTCAGTGCCCTGTGTGTAGAGTGAGGAGAATGATAATAATGTGTTTAGCACAGTGCTGGGATGTTATCTTGTGGCTTTAGTACTGGTGAGAGGTAGTTTCCCTTTTCCAAATGACAAAATGGCACCTCGAAGTCCCAAGGGATTTTCCTAGGACTCCAGAGACAAGAAATGGTAGGAGGTGTCCATGAGCTGTCTGTGCACTCTCCAGAGGTCAAGGCTATGCCCTTGCTGCTGCTGCACCTCCCAACCAGAGCACACTATCTTGTCCTGTGAACAAGAGGTTGGCATCCAACAGGAGATGACTGCAAGGTCTAGACTGTGTCTGAGTCCTGTGCTCAGTTTGACCATCACCTGAGACTGCTCTCCTCTTGCTGGGACTTTCATGAAGGAAGGTCCCATCTTTAGCCATGTCAAGGCCATCTACAAATCTGGCCTTTTTGTGGCCCTGTAACTTGGGAGAGTACTGTACATCAAAACTCAGAAGGGCACTCCAAGGGGAGTTTAAGAGGAAGATGGGTACATTCTCTTTCTTCTTCCATTAGGTTTATGAAATTGCATAATCTGAGCCTGAATATCAATATTTTTAAAAGCCTTGTTGGCTAGAAATGCCAATACATTTTTTTCCTTGTTGCTCTAGGGATAGGTTTTTTTAAAGGTATATGCGGGTTAAATGTAACATTTGAATGGACCCTTGGGTGATACAAAGGCAAATCCCCAAGCCAAAACCTTGTTTCACCGCAGAACAACTCAAGGCAAAATGGAGCTAAGTATTTCCTGTGTAGCAATTAAAACATAATTTCTATTATGGCCTGCATTTCAAAGTGAAAAGGGGAGATAGACACTTGACCATCAAGCATTATTCACCAACACACACACACACACACACACACACACACACACACACACACATGCACTGATCACCCGTGCATTCTGAACAGTAGACAGAGTGGGTTAAAACCTTTCAGAGGTTCCAGAACCAAAGAGCACTGCCCGTGATGGAGAAACACAAAAGCCATTTCAAATAAAAGTCTCCTGAACTCTTAGCCTCAAACCACTTTCCTGATAAAATTACAGAGCTTGTTTCATTTATATCCATATTAACTTTTAGCCTCTGCACCATTCCAATAGTAGAAAATTAATCAGAGAAGTTAATCGTGCGAATCGGGGGGTGGGGGATCTGAATTACTGACAATGTCAAATGTCAGAAGTGTTTAACAAGAACATGGTTACATTATTGTCACGTGGCACGTGTGAAACGTGCAACTGTAAAAACTCAACACTCTCATATAACATAATGTATTGAAAACACTCCTATTTGTCAAAAAATTCTATTATATATAAACATAATATTGAAAATTGCGGGTGAAGGATTCCCCAATTACCTCATCTATTACTTTTAGTCAAGATTTCTCTTGGTTGTGTGAGTTTGAAGATACAGAGAGGGAATTATTTTGAAAATTGTACTTTATAGAATCCTCTATATTTGAGCTGACATACAGAATTAATAGGTCTGTTACATCAATATTTTCTGATGTATCCAAAT